GATGTGAAATTCTCTGCCATACATCCCAAGACGGTTCTGCAACAGCCAAGCTCATTGCTGCACACCGACACAAAGGCTCCATGCGCAGTACGGTCGTGAAAATTAAAGACCGTTTAAGCCTGAGGATTAATCCGGAGTATTCTATTGTATCCCGTACTAAAACGGTCCTTGTAACTACACAGGCCAGATTGTGCGCATGCTCGAATCGCGCATACATGAGCATAAGCTGATCGTGCGACGAGGCGGCGCATTATCACAAGTGGCCGCCCACACCTACGAAATGGGTCGCGAGTTTAACTTCTCAGCCACCAAAATAGTCGTCCACGCCGGAAACAAAGTAGGCCGAGATTTTGTTGGAGCCTGGACCACGGGTAAGTAATCAGTTAATCGATTAATCGATCTGGCGCCGACGTACGGTGCCCTGCACAGTCCCCTCTAGGCGTCGTCGGTCGGTGATTGGCTTACACGCCCTATAACTTTCGCTTATTTTGTTGCTGTTACTATGCTGTTACATCCCCATGCACGATGTTATGATCTTTGGTTAGTAAATGGAGGAAAATTTCCAGGCGATGGAACAACCGCAGGCTAAACAACCCTTTAAAAATTAGGTATCAGAATTGTTGTCACTTGTCCGCCTCCCGAGTGGCCCATGTACTTCGTTCTCTTAAACTCATGCTAATTGCATGATAAAAGATCCCGGATTCGAATCTCAAGTGACCTACGCTCTGAGTTGGGTATGACTGGCTGATGACTGCTAACAAGCCAGGAATGGCCATTGCGGTCTCCGGTACCACCTCATCTACTGCCAGTCGCTGTGTGACTGCCTGCGAGTGTCCTAGCATTAGCCCCAAGGTACAGCGGAACGACCACGTTCCGTAACTTGATCGGCGAGCACCCATCTGTCACTTGCATTCATGTCTACCGTCAGCCAACGCAACGCACGAACAGGCATGACCAGTCATGGGTGCCTAAGACTCGGGATAACTTATTGCACGCGCCCCTGGAGACGGCCTGCTGGATCTAATTCCCGAAAGTAGCCGATCACAAAAACGTCCCTTCTCAGGTATGACTAAACATCGTCAACACATGTCCTGGCCTGGCTAGCGGTCATCGTTGCCTGGGACACATCGACTCAGGATTCTACGGTTTCAAAGTATTATTAACTCAAAACTACCGGGGATCCATTTACTCTCGAAAATGAATTTGATGATGGTAGAGGAACGCTCACCGATCGTTCTTACGGAATTCGATCGTTCCGTTATGCCTTACGGGCTCTCTCTTGAGCCCAACCGGCAGCCGCACAGCGGCGCATGATATAGGCAGAAGGATATTACTAACAAAGACAAGGGAGACTGGAATGGTAATTTCTGGCTTATTAGTCGTCGTAAGCCAGTCATACCCAACCCCAAAGTGTGGCACACCCGAGGCTCGAATTCGCAACCTGTCAGTTATAAGTCCAACGCCTCTAACCACCGGGCCACCGGACGTTGTCATGTCTGTTTTGATCGGGAACGTACACTGGTAGAGGGACGTTCACGCATCCTTCTTACAAAACTCACTTGATCGGTTGTGCCTTACGGGCTCATTCTTTGATGTCCTAGGTCGTCGATATACTGACGGGACGTTTCGCACTTCAGGTTCCTACTAAGAAACTTATACTCACAAACGAAGTGCTGTTAACGGCCTACTCAATGAAGTGAAAACACACTTCTTGGACAACCGAGTTTACCTTATAGAATGTAGGGTATGGGAATACTACACTAGCAGCACAGGCCTAGTCAAAAGCCCATACAAGCGAGTTTCGCCGATATTCTGCCGCTGCATGACAGAATAGACTCTATAATATACTGGTGTACTCCAAGTTCGCAGTTAATTTATGAGGAAAGTAAAATGCAACAAATATAACTTATAAAGAAGGAGACACGATCGCTGGGACAAGAGCTTTATTCGCCTGACGTTTCGGATTCCTGCTCGAACTCATCATCAGAGACAAAAACAGATACGGATTGTTCGCTGGTCCCCAGTCTATTAACAAGTGTAACTACCTTCCTCTTCCGTACTCGGTGCTGATATTTCGCCTTGGCGGAGTAATTAGCCAAGCGGGGAGTGCACAGGTGAACACTTTTCCCAACGCCAGGGTCGGTGGATTAGATGGTCGTTCAATCATCACACGTGATGGAATTGCAGCAATTAACGACGCGAATTTCGGCCATCAAACAGTTATCACACGTAGTGCAACGATCCCTGCTGAAGGGGGAGAACCGTAGGTATGCGGTAGCATGACAACTGCATCCTATAACTACTGCAGCCCCTTGTGCATGAACCACCCGTATCTGCTTTTGTCTCTGATGATTGGTTCGAGCAGGAATCCGAAACGTCAGGTGAATAAAGCACTGGTCCCAACGACCGGGTCTCCGTCTTCACGACTGCTTTCTAGGACTCGTCCCTTCGCTTCTATTGTCCAATAGAACTTAATTATTTGTCCATATTTTTTTCCCAGAATGGTAACCATCGAGATTTTGTAAGTCAATATATGAGACAAAAGAAGTTGAAAGAAAACATTTTTCTTATAAAGAGTATGTCCGCACTTATCGAAAGACACCCGAGAGTATACCAAATTACAAGTGTAGCACAAAAAGACGATTACATGGCCCCTAACCTTATCTACTCTAAGGATAGGGTTGGGTATTTAGAGAAGAAAGAATTCGTCTGCAGTATTCCAAGGGACGCCTACGATGCAGTGTACTGTGATCAAACTCCGAAATCGGCTTCTACCCGCAAACATAAGCATCAATTGACCGTGAAGAGGCAGGCAACCTGTCCCAGTATGCCACACATAGACTAAAAACTGGACACAAACTTGCTTGAAACAAAACTCGCACTGATGATGTCAGTACATCCAAGAAAGGCTGAGGATTTCTGGAGGCCATGAATTTCGATGATTCATGCACTAATCAGCACATCGAATTAGACGCTGTGCGCAATAATCTCATGGAAAGGTTGAAAAGGCCACAGTCAATCCCATAGTAATGTCAGCACAGACGAATGGATTATTGGGGGAATAACTAAGACGTGTCGATTTATCAGACATGCCCAGAGAGAAAATTAGCAAATTTTTGCTGTAAATGGTCTTACTGGGCATCTTGTAATATTTTTATCTGTTTGCAGACCATTTAGATCTACCTAGTTTATTTACTGGTACTGTTCTATCATTAATAATTCATCAGACTAATACAGAATACTACTCGCTAACGTCTCGTGCGGCGGCCCTTTTGATGTTAGTTTCCCTGTAAGCTTGTCTTCGACGATAGGCAGAAACTGCATCGAAATCTTTACTGCGCAGCGTGACAGATAAGTGGCAAACTGTCCCAGGTACTACTTATATGCTTGTTTAGGTATAATTATTTTTGGTTTGGTAAAATAAAGTTCTGGTAAGCGAGTTTAGCACTGTATCTTACAGCAGGAAAGCCCCGAATATGTAAATCAGAATTTATAAAGCTGTATCTGTTCCTCATTCTATGAAACCAACGCTTATTTCCATATCTGACTGCATGTGGTTTTTATTAGTACAAAATCCGATTTTTCTGTTCACGGGGGAGCTTAATTAGGACTTTTCTTGTATTATTGCTCTTTTACAGCGAAAGGAAGCTTGTCTGCCTCGGAAAGCCAACGGATCGGTGTGCGCCCATTTCTGGGTTAATAAATACCCTATCTGCAGCGACAGAGAATGGCAGGTAGCAAGGCACTGATGAAATTCGTTTCGAATAAGTGCATCTGACCAATCTGGTAGATCCCAGTAGAGGACCAACAGCGCCAGGTGTGTGAGCGCACGTTTGTGTTTCCGGTCCCAGCTGGTAGTCAAAGTTGTGATTGGCTGAATGAAGGCAAAAAAGCCCGAAACACTGCTGTAGCAATCTACCCCCAGACTCTGTCGTCTCCCCTCAGCTATCATAGGTTGGCGAACTACGGTCTGGTAGGTGGCTACCTGTTCGTGACCCCTATCGTCCACACGAAGCTTTTTTGCTTCGGGAAGTCAACCTATCGGTATGTGCCCATTCCTCAGTGAATAAGTGCAGGTATGCACATGGACACGGTAAGTACCATATCTAGATATATGCGGAATAGCATTAGCGACAAGACAATGGAGACTGGAATGGTGATTTTTGGCTAGAACGTTGTCAGCCAGCCGTACCCCACTGTAAAGAATAAAACGCCTGGGGCTCGATCCGGCGACCTGTTAGTTAGAAGTCCAACGCCTTTAACCACTGAGCCACGGGCTGCTTGTCATGTCGGTTGCGATCGGGAATATACAATGGTAAAGGGGGCAATCGCCGATCGGTTTTTAAAGAACTCACTCGTACCGTTGTGAGTTCTTTAAAAGCGATCGGTGAGCGCCTCCTGTACCATTATATATCGCGCTTATCATCTCCCGAAGAAGACGAAGAAAAAGAGAAGGCGAATTCATGGACCATATTGTGTTTGGAGGGACATTTCGGAAACTTCCTATTTTCCATCATAAGAATAGTGTGCTTGTTGCTCTTGTCGGTCTTGATTTGTTCAGTTTTCCCGCTTGCCTCGTATTCTAGCCGTCAACTTGGCAGTCGACCTTTACGGCACAAAAACTGGAAATCCTCAAAGCGGCAATTCTCAAAAGTGCACGGCATCACCGCAAATTGCATGATGACCAGTTGTCTGGAAAATTTGAAAAAATAAGTCCGCCAAAGCAGCCCTCCACTGACGGCGTCTTGGTTCACAACTTGTCCTCCCATCGTTTCATTCAGCAACAACTAGCGGTTCTACCCTATGACCCGAGATTCAGCACAAAAGATGCTCGACCAGAAGACTTTATTTCATCCTTTCAGTCGGCGCTCCCGAAATGTGAGGCAGGTTAGGAGTTCAAAAACGCCATGCGACAAAAAGTGTCGTCTTTACTCCTTCAACACAAACGCCAGATGACGATTTCTAAAGTAGAAGATGGAGAACTTCGGAAGATACGGAAAATGAAGGATATCGTCACCCTGCGCGCCCACAAGGGGCGCTCGACTGTCGTCATGGATAAGGCTGAGTACTGCACAACACTAGGCAACCCCTTGATGGACAAGGAAGCTTATGCGCCATCGACCGTCAGCGAGTTTAAAAAGCTCGTAAACAGCATAAACAGGATGATCGGCAAGCTGAGGAAGGCGGCAGCTCTTACGAGAAGGGAAGCGTTGACCGCAAAAGCCAGTGATACCGCGATGGCGCGCTTCTACGGCCTACCAAAGGTCCACAAGCAGGGGGTGCCGCTACGCCCCATCGTCTCCTTACGTTGTACTCCAAACTTTGGGCTGTCAAAGTGGCTGTACCAGCGACTTTGTTTCCTTACCAAGGATTCGGAGTGGACAGTAAAGTCGGCTGAAGAGTTCTTGATGCGCACCAAACATCTCGAAGTGGAGGCAGATGAGGTGATGGCGTCATTTGACGTGATCTCCTTATTCACCTTCATCCCACCCGCGCTGGCTATCGACACTATTGACGGTTTTCTCCAGGAAAAGTATGATGAGACCGACCAACAGCTCAAACGAGCACACATGATAGAACTGTGTCGTAAGACCTTCTTTTCATTCAAAGGCCAAGTTTACGAGCAAAAGAAGGAGACATCGATGGGCTCGCCTCTGTCTGGACTAATTGCCGAAGCAGTTTTGCAGAGGCTAGAGCAGCAGGTCTTCAGCTCGTACCCCCGAAGTTCTGGGCCAGATACGTCGACGACACGTTCGTTGTAATCAAGAGGAGCAAGGTGAAGGCTTTCAAGTCATTGTTAAACTCTATCTTCCCCGACATTCAGTTTACTATGGAAGAGGAAGTAAACAATCAGTTGCCCTTCCTGGACGTACAAGTTGCGAGATTGACAGACGGGAAGATAAAGACAGCGGTTTACCGTAAGACAACAAATACTAGGCGCATCCTCCACTTCCGAAGCAACCACCCTGTTGGTCATAAAATCAGTTGTGTCAGAACTCTCTTTTAACGTGCTCAAACACACTGTATCGACGACAGTGGGAGGAAGGAGGAGGTGAATTACTTACAGGGCCTTTTTAAAGTTAACGGATACCCGAAGTCCTTCACACGCAATTGCCTCAAAAAGCCTAATTGTGAGCGGTCGAGTGGAGAAAAGCCCAAGTTCTGACTCTCGCAACCCTCCGTAAAGAACGTATCAGAAGCGAAAGCGAGAATCCTGAAACCTTTTGGGAATATCGTGGCTCATAAACCACAATTCGCCATCAGGCGGCAAATCGTGAAGTCTACAAACAACAGAAAGTCAGCGATGATCTACAGCACACCAAGCCTAAATTGCAAGACGAAGTATGTTGGTGAAACGGACAAATGCCTCAGTACAAGATTCCACGAACACCAACTTGCAATCAAACGCAAGGACTAGCTGTCTTTGGTCTATGGCTACATACAAGAACTGAACCACAATTATACCTTTGAGAAATCGAGGGTATTAGTGGAGCCAATAAGAAGATGTTCGAAAGTCGGTCCTCGATTGAAACAGCCGAGCTATAGATCTACATCACGCCTACCAGGCGCAGCGTACAAGGCTCGGATCAGTCCGGACAGGACCAGTAAGGCAAGCGAGCACGCGGGACCGAGAGTCAACGCTCACGGAAAAGAGCGGAATTGGGGGCCAGAGGTCATGTGACCAAAGCCGAACACTGTCTCACCGATGCGCCCGCGAAGGTGAATGCTGCTCACCTGAACAGCAACGACCGATCAGTCCACCGGCTGACGTGGGAGAGGCCAACCAGCACGTTGATTTGACCACAATTATTTCGACCCCAAAGGGAGCAAAGGTCACGCAGGCCTGACAGCGGTCAGCCCCAGGGAGGTCTAAGCCGGTTAGCGGCAAACAGGCAGGTCAAAGTTCGTGCGTCGAGCACGGCTATAATAGGAAGCAAGCGGTAAAACTGAATAACTCAAGACCGACCGGAGCATCAAGCACACCAATCTGATGATGGAAACGAGGGAGTTTCCGAAACCTCAGTTCAAACACAATATGCTCCATGAATTCACCCTCTCTTCTTCTTCGTCTTCTTTGGGAGATGATGAATACGATACAATTTCTGTACCTCGAATCTTTACGCATACCATTCGATATATATTGGAAGATGAGCATACGTGACCACTATGATATCGTCCGAATTTCTGCCACTCAGACACGAACTTACTGCTGCGGTTCGGCGGTTTCTGATGTGCGTACTTCTAAAACTCCTATCAGTTGAAACAAAGACAAATTTTTTTCGATTTATTTAATTTCCAGTAGTTGTGTGCAAGTAAGAACAAATCGTGTCATTTCCCGTCCCCTTTTATTGCGGCCTTGAGGACAATGCGTAGTTTTTCATTTTCAGTGAACTGCGGCACAAAAGAAGGAATCATTTTTTTAATCTTTCCGGAAACAGTGTCAGACAGTCAAAAAGTCTTTTGCTACGGATGTAGTTAAATCAACGCGACTGACCTGCACTTGCCTGTAAGGCCTCCTTGCTAACACCTAATCTGATGAGCCCGTGCAGACCGACTTTCAGACAATGCGTGGAGCTGATTGGCGGACTGCCATGCTACGGACGTTTAGGTAATTGCCTTAATTGAAGCGGAGGCGTATGCTCACGCGCCCACCACCCGCTGAAGTATTTTGGCATCAGAATTTGCAACAAGTTAGGCCCTCAGATGGATTCCCTGGAGGATACCTGTAGGAGGTGAGCACATTTTGGTGCAAAATTTTCGAGGTTTATGGTCCGCAGTTGTTTTTGTGTCTGAGAACTCTTGAATACGATGTGGGGGTTTTTCCCGGCGAAATTTTAACATGATCGGGAAGGTTACATGGTCGGTTTTTGATCACAGACTAGCGCTTCAAAATAAAAAAAAACACCATGGAAAAAAGACAGATAACGCTCATTGTCTGTTAGTTAGAAGTCCAAAGTCTCTACCCACTGGGCCACGGGCCCGTTGTTTTGTCGGTTTCGATCGCGAATATACAATGGTAGAGGAGGACGCTCACCGATCGTTATAGCTGGCTGAAGACGGTCAACAAGCCAGAAATGGCAAGTCCGGTCTCCCTTATCTTTCTTTCGAAAGCCGATATCCTGCCAAGTCCAAAATATCATTGCATTATGCCGCATGATAATCAGCATTACAACCGCGCCTAAGTAATCCTACTAGTCGAAAACGCGTTTCAGAATTTCAGCCAACATTTCATGTGATCGGTCACTCGCTGTATATGATCGGGAAGGTTGCATGGTCTGTTCTTGATCGCAGATTAGCGCTTCGAAATAAACAGAACAGAATGGAAATATAACAGATAACATTTTTTGTCTCTGCTGCAGAGGTTGAATGACTTAAATAGCCATGCCTCCCTTACTTACGATATTAGGAAGACTAGATTCAAGATCAAAACCCGTGCCTTCCGGAGTGAGATTGGAGTACGGTTGTCTGATAATGACGGATATGTCGAAAACGGTAATTCCAGCCGGCAGACTCCTCAGATTTTGGTTTCCAATCACTGGTAAAGCGACTACGAGAACATAGTTCCTGTAGGCAGCCAGCTTAGCGAATTTCACAGTCCCACCTCATTTTTCACGTTTTTAACATCATATACATATAACATTTGAAGGAACAGACCTCACAAGTGCCCTGACTGCTAGTGGGTTTCACGCCACGGAGTTGGAATTGACCAGTTATTACGTCTCCGCTGGTCTTTCCGGACCAACTGGTCGACTTTCGAAAGGCAGGCCAGCTAACTGTTAGCAGTGGAGGGCTCGGGTGGCTGACGACGGCAAATAAGCCAGAAATGGCCATTCCAGTCTCCCTTGTCTTTGTCGGTAATGCTATTCTGCCCATATATATATATATATATATATATATATATATATATATGTTAATAGAAGCGAAGATTCGAGTCCCCGGAGACAAATGAGAAGAAGAGGCGATCTCGGGAACCATGCTTGTATTGTCCTGACGTTTAAAAGCAGACAAGCTTTCATCGTCGGAGGTGAGTATCGTACGGCATCACACAGTATTTATAGGAGGGGGATAGATATCAGTCATGCTAACACGGTGGTAATTATAGGGGGGAGGGGGTGGTTAATCGGCTTTGGCGCTAATGGCCCGCATACGCACAGGGATCGTCTCTGTAGTCGCCGGGGCAGAGCGGGAAGGAGGGTGACTGCTGTCAATCTGCCTGTCTCTCGTCGGGGGCGGCATTTGAACGTTGGTGGCCATCGCCCGCATTCGCGTTGACCTTAATTGTCGTGCTGGGTTGCTAGTCTTGATTGCATCCCTCTGACCGCGTTTCTCCCCGTCTGCCGGAGTAGTAGTTGAGGCAACAGTATTGATGACTGCGCCTTCGTCGGGCCCGATTTGCGGTGTGGCTACGTGTAGGTCCGTCGTAGGTTCTCCAGTGTTTGGATCCACGTCCGGCCTGACCTCGCGCTTGCCCTTTAGTTCGTTGAGCTGCGTCCGGAGGGCTTGGTATGCTGTCGGGAGGGCGACACAACGGTTTATTGAGGTTGTTTCCGTGTGCCAGGCCTCGATCGTTTCCCTGGCTACGCGGTCGTTGCCTCGACCCAGAATTTTGGCGTTCTGGAAGGCAAAAGTGTGTCCAGAGTCCGCGCAGTGTTCCGCCACCAGAGACAATGGGTCCATTCTCCTCACTGCCCGCATGTGTTCGTTAACGCGAGTTTGTAACCGTTTGCCTGTCTCTCCGACGTAGTTTGCTTGGCAAGAGTTACACTGGACCCGGTAGATGACGTTTGTCGTCTCACCTCGTGGCAAGGGGGCCTTCGGTCTCATAACCAAATGCCGAATGGTTGAGTCTGGTCGATGAGCGATCCCGATCCCCAAGGGCCTTAGGAGGCGGGAAACTGCCTCAGAGACGCCGTCGATGTATGGCAGTGCACGCCAGACTTTTGGCTGTTCTGTCACCCGATTTTGGCCTGGTTTAGACTGCCTGCTGCGCTCGATGAAGTTACGGGGATATCCGTTGACCATGAAAAGGCGCTGAAGATAGCGGAGTTCTGTCCTTCTGTCATCCGGTTCGCTGCAGTGTTTTTCTGCTCTACTGTAGAGAGTTCGCACACAGCTGCGTTTGTGACATAACGGGTGTTTACTGTGATAGTTTAGGATTTGGCGTGTGTTGGTAGCCTTCCTGTACACCGTCGTTTTTATGTGCCCGTTGGGCTTTCGATGGACAAAAACGTCCAGAAACGGCAGCTGGTTGTTGTTTTCCGCCTCCATCGTGAATTGGATGTCAGGAAAGACGGAATTCAGGACGATGTGAAATTCCTCGATCGTTTCTCGCTTGATGATGACGAAGGTGTCGTCGACGTAACGAGTCCAAAACTTTGGCCTGTGAGTGGTGAAAACCAGGCTCTCTAGTTTTTGCAGAACTGCCTCAGCGATGAAGCCGGAGAGTGGCGATCCCATCGGCGTCCCCTTAATTTGTTCGTACATGGTCCCCTCGAAGGTGAAGTACGTCTTCAGGCAGAATTTTAATAGTTGGACTAGATGTCTGCATTTCACTGGCTTGTCCGTCTCGTCATACTGCCTCTCGAGTAATTCGCTGACCGTTCCGATGGCCAGGTCCTGCGGGATTGAAGTGAAGAGAGAGGTGACGTCAAATGACACCATGACCTCGTCTGCAGTGAGTCGCGTTCCTCTGAGCCGTTCCAGAAACTGAGTAGCTGAACAGACCGTTGTGGTTGCGCCTGAGGTGAGAGGCCTCAGGTGTCGGAACAGCCATTTAGCCAGATTGAATGTTGGCGCGCCGCGAAGTGACACGATTAGTCGGAGGGGGACATCGACCTTGTGCACTTTGGGTAGTCCGTAGAACCTTGGTGCGGCTGCATCTGTTGGTTTAACGGCCAGTCGTACTGACTTGCTTATTACTTTGTTCGTTTGCATTTCAGCGAACGTTTTGTCCAGCTGCGTCAGCAGCTTCCTCATCGGCTCATCATCACATCGGAGGTAGGCCTGTCGATCATCCAGCAGGTTGTTAGTCTTCTGAATGTAGTCGGTCTTGTCCAAGACAACTGTAGAACGCCCTTTGTCTGCTGGCAGTACCACAATGCTCGTGTCGGCCCTCAGTTTCTTGAGGGCATCCTGTTCCGTTCTGGTGATATTTGCGCGTGGTTTGTGGGCCATCACCAAGGCGGTTACCTGTTGCCGAACGAGGTGTTTTGTTTCGTCGGATTCCTCGGTTTGTTTGAGAATCGATTCCACTGTTGCCACGAGATTGACCGGATCGGCGTCAGTGGTATTGAAGCAGGCCTCGTGACTCAGCACTTTTAGTTGTTCAGGAGTCAGCTCTTTGGAGGATAGATTGTGGACTAGGGCGTCGTTCTCCTCCTGAAACGTGCGGCTGATATTTCGAAGCTTATCTGCCAGCTCGATATCTCGTTTTGCTCGTAGTTCCCTGGTGCGTTTATCAATCTCCTGTTTCAACAGCATAGTTCCGTCTTCGCCGATGAGTTCAGTGCATTTAGCGATCGCTTGGCTCAGAACCCCTTTGTATTTCCGCAGTCGAAGATGGCAGTCCTGAAGGAGCGCCCGGATCATTCGCCTGCTGTGTTGCATCACCCATCGTTTCGCCAGACTTGTGTTTACCGGTGGCTTGTAAGACAAGCTCTTCGGAAGCACATGATTGTCAAGGCATCTGTGGAGAAATTGAATTTGCGCGTACGTAGATGACACACGAAGGGTAAAGGATTCCCAACGTCTTGCTGACTCAAGCGCTTCGCGCCCGAAAATATTTCTAATAGAAGCGAAGATTCGAGTCCCCGGACATAAATGAGAAGAAGAGGCGATCTCGGGAACCATGCTTGTATTGTCCTGACGTTTCAAAAGCAGACAAGCTTTCACCGTCGGAGGTGAGTATCGTACGGCATCACACATCGCTCTGCCCCGGCGACTACAGAGACGATCCCTGTGCGTATGCGGGCCATTAGCGCCAAAGCCGATTAACCACCCCCTCCCCCCTATAATTACCACCGTGTTAGCATGACTGATATCTATCCCCCTCCTATAAATACTGTGTGATGCCGTACGATACTCACCTCCGACGATGAAAGCTTGTCTGCTTTTAAACGTCAGGATAATACAAGCATGGTTCCCGAGATCGCCTCTTCTTCTCATATATATATATATATATATATATATATGGATGTAGGCAAAAATGCTGACCCCAGGTGTTGAAATTGAAGAAGGATAGAAGTTGACGGACCTATCAGGCGAGAGCGAGAGGGACCTATTTAAACCGTGTAATTTTCCAATATTCCCTATCTCCGATGATGCGCTCGAGTATGAGTGTGAAACGTCAGATGAATAAATCATCATCCCCAGAGCTCGCCTTACCATCTTCTTCAATATATATATATATATATATATATATATATATATATATATATATATATATATATATATATATGTATTTAAGCAATGCGGGGCGACAGAGTCTGGGGGTAGATCGATACAGTACTGTTGCCGGCTTATTTTGCCTTTATTTAGCCAATCATAATCCTGACCAGCGGCTGGTACCAGAAACAAGGACACGCGCATGGACGCACCTGGCGCAGTTGGTCCACCACTGGGGTCTACCAGATGGGTCGGAAGCACTTTATCGAACAGTAGTTCATCATGGCCTCGCCACCTGTCATTCTCTGTCGCTGCAGATCGGGTTTATATTCGGTCGAGAATGGGCGTATTTGTGTTTCTGGTCCCAGCTGCTGTTCAGGGATATGACTGGCTGAATGAAGGCAGAATAAGCCCGAAACAGTACTGTATCAATCTACCCGCATTCTTTGTCGACCCTCATTGCTGCCATTTTGACTTGACCGACTTCGGCCTGGTAATTGATTTGGACTTGGAAGGATGTCGGCTTTTAAATACACTGCTTTTCAATCTCCTGTATAAACCGAACTCGGTAAAAATGACTGCTTAAGTAGCATGAGTTTTTCTCATTGATTTTCGATGGTCTTTCAAATTCAAACATACTTTATAAAAAGCACGAACAAAAAAGCTTTCTTTCGGTCGTTTAATAGGGAATCACGTCATGTTTATATATTATTTTCGAAGAAAGGAATATAATTGGGTTTTAAAATAGTTCCTAATTATGAGATTTTTTAGGATCGGGCAATGTCCATTAATATAGCATCTTATCTGTCCGTTTATCAGTGCTCCTCATGAAATGTACAACATAGTCCGTATCCATTGCGAAATTCCATGAACTCTGTATAATATCTTTCCAAAGGCATAAAAGGATATGGGATTTTCTTTACGAGGAACGCTGGCACCTTGTAGACCGAAATCACTAAGCGCTAATGGAACGACTGATCAGGCTCCAAATTATTCGGCAATTAGAGAACTTTTTCAAAACTTAATTATACTACTTTCTTCGAGTATAAGATATGAAGATGACGTAATTACCTATTAAGCGACTGAAAGAAAATTTATTTTTGTTCTTGGTTTATGTAAAATATATTTTAATTTACATGACAATCAACAATCAATGAGAAAAATGAATGCTGCCTAAGTAGTCATTTCTTGCCGAGTTCGGTTTCTACAGGAGACTAAAAAGCGGCGTATTCAAAAGCTGATATCCTGCCAAGTCCGAAATATCATATGATTATGCCGCATGATAACCAGTATTACAACCGTGCCTAAGTAATCCTTCCTAATCAAAAACGCATTTCAGAATTTCAGCCAACATTTCATGAGATCGGTCACTCACTGTATATGACCGGGAAGGTTGCATGGTCTGTTATTGATCGCAGGTTAGCGCTTCGAAATAAACAAAATAGAATGGAAATATAAGAGATAGCATTGTTGGCCTATGGTGCAGAGTTTGAAGAAGTTGAATAGCCATGTCTCCCTTAGTTACGATATTAGGAAGACTAGACTGGAGATCAAAACCCGTGCCTTCCGGAGTGAGATTGGAGTACGGTTGTCTGATAATGACGGATATGTCGGCAACGGTAATTCCAGCTGGCGGACTCCTCAGATTTTGGTTTCCCATCACTAGTAAAGCGACCACGAGAACATAGTTCCTGTATTACCCCTGCAGGCAGCCAGGTTGGCGAACTTCATAGTCTTACCTCATTTTTTCCGTTTTTAATATCATATACACATCAAAAATGCCCTGATTGCTAGTGGTTTTCACGCCACACGATTGGAATTGACCAGTCATTCCGTCTCCTTTCGTCTTTCTGGAGCAACTGGTCGACTTTACAAAGGCAGGCCAGCCAACTGTTACTAGTGGAGGCGTAAACTCGCAGCCTCCCGAAAAAAATTCTGTAGAACAAAGCAGATACCTCTTTAAATGCTCACAATGATTTCTTTTAATAAAATAGAAAGGAGTTAGTCGTTGTCTTCTAACTTGCTATTTTTAGTCAGTCTCATAGTGTCCGGTCTTGGTGCAGTATTTACTCCTCTTTGTGTATCCAGCACTAATCCTGTGCGAGTAGTCCTTGCGCCTATTAACCGGAATTATGAAATTGTCACCTGCATTGGCCCCGTGACAAACTTATCTGAATCCACACAGAAATTACAAACGCTTTTTTTCACAAAAGGCCCCTGCCACGTAATTTTACAGTGTTCTGCGCATTACTCGGAGCTGTCACTGCGGGATGCTTTTCAATTCATGTCCACCTACAGAAGATCTAACGAACCTCTTGTTGTTTTATTTTGAGCTAAAGTAGGCGACATTTCAGGCCACTGGGAGGCTTCGGATAGCAGTGCAAAAGGTTTAGGAATAACGTAAATTACCAGCAGTTAAATGTATTGCCTATTGTCAAGGCCTTACGATGCGCGATAAAAGCGCTTCTGTGGTTGGTTGATTTGGTCTCGATCGATTTTTCTCCCATCGTCCTGAGTGGTCGGTCATGTTTGGTTAATAGGACATTGGTGTTACTAATTCGCGTTCAGGAAGTAACTACTGCGTTCACGTGGTGTGTATGGAGTTGCAGGGTAGCTAATCTTATCGAGCACATTGTAGGCATCTCATTATTGGCCGTGAAGAGGTAGTGGTTCATATCCCAACAATCTGCAAAGAGTTCTATGAGCTTGTTGTTTGAATTCGTCTTCGAAAAATGCCTTGTCCCAGGGCTTTTCGCCTATTCTTTACCAGCTCACTATCTGTCTCGATAGGCGCTCTTGTATTATATCCGTTTTTACAATTTCCAGTCTCTCTGACTTCACACGTCAACTTGCGTGGATCATAGCATTTTACGTATATCCTTCAATATTTTATATAAGGGAGGGCGGGCTGGGCTAGATCCCAGTTGGTAGTCAGGAAGGGGGAAACGGACGGCGACCTTAACCCCTATCCTAACCTTAACCCTAACCCTAACCTTAACCTTAACCGTTAACCCTAACAGCAACCCTAACTCTAACCGAAATCGTAAACGTTTCCGTAGCCATTAGACATAGCCGTAACTGTGAAACCTAACCGTCTTACTAAAACCTAATTGTAAACTCAAACACAAACCGTAATCCAAAAACCTAAGCCTGAAGGCATAACCCTAACCCGAAAATCGGAAACCATTAACCGGTACCCTAATCCTAACCTCAAACGTGAAACGGAAGCCAAACGGGTCAGATGTGATTATGTAGCCCCACAAAAAAGCCCCAGCCACCTGTAATACGGGACCTGACTACCAACTGCGATCTAGCGGCGGGTTGTAGTTACTGATCGGAGTTTAGGCTTGAGCGATGCGTTCGAAGCACTTTTGTGTAAAAATTTCGTTGCATCGAAGCTATCCACCTACGCGTCATACCAGCTGTGATTTTTATTACATGGGATTCCAGGGCACAGAGGACACGCACCGTCCTACTTCGATGCCGACGTCAACTCTTTGACCAGATCTGTTCTGCTGCACAGACGCACAAGGTCTGGAAAATTATAATATAGCCAGAAGTTGGCAAAACAGTCTTGCGTGTTTGTTCTGACGAATTTTATTTTTATGCCGTGGAAACAAGGAAAAATTTCATAATGCTTAATGCGATTCATACGGTCCTTGCCCATTCAAATGAGGAGTACTTCGGTTTCGTGCCGAAGAGTTGAATTAGCCTGAGTGTCCTCTTTTAGAGAAACACAGTTTTTGCTCCGGCGTTGAAAATGACACAACCATGAACAACAAAAGTCCTGCACACGTCGCCTTCTCTTATAGCTAGAGGCAACAGCCCGGAAATATTAATTTTCTGTGCCAGAAGGCAGGTTACGAAATGTATATTTCACGGTAGGCGGGAATAAATTAGACAGAGATTCATCAAGCACGGCATTATTAATTGCATTTCTGCTTCGCATGGTACGTGCCGAATTTTTCTGTTATACTGCTGAAAAGAGAAATCAGCAGTAATTTTGCAGGTATTTAAAGGAGTCCTGAAAGCAGAATTCCTATTATTCCGCCTCAATGAGACTTTTCTGTTTGCTGTTGGCAAACTTGCATTCTATTTGCCTGCACCCACAGCATGCAAAAGTAGGATTGCGGCGTTGTCTTTTTTGTGGTAGGATGGCAGCAGTAGCTTAGGAGCATCAGCTTTGGCTGTCACGTTAGCCTTCT